AAACATACGGTTGTATGTGTGTGAAGCTTAGGTCGTGCTTCAAATTGTGCTTTTACGTTTTTCAATCGACAATTGTGCGTGTGAAGACGAGTAAGCGTGTGTCTCTCTGGTTGTGTTTTTCTGCATTGAACTTATTTCCATACAACGGCTGTGTGTTCCACACACACACACACACACACACACACACGTACGTACGTGCGACTTCTGGCAATTTATCCGCTCATTCCATCGCCTTGCAGCTCCTCCAAATCCTTTGCCCCACCCACAATGGCCCGCTGATACCAGGTGCCTGCCACATCAGCCTTCCAGCAGCGGACAGTCCCATCGTCGCCCGAGGATGCTAAGGTGGTCCCAGTCATGTCCCATTCCACTTTCCAGACCTGTAAGCCAAAGATCAGTACGTTAAAAGCATACACAACACCATTCTAGGTGTAAATGAATAAGGCACACTTACATGAGTTCTCTCTCTTTTTCAAGTTTTTTCTAAATACATCATCATAGAGAACTGCCGGGTGAGCCATAGGTGGAGAGGGAGAAGAGGAGAACAAACGAGGGGCTGTGACAAACAGACCGTTTCGTCGGAGTTTCACCGACTCATCAGGAGGCTGAACCCTCTACAGTCCGCAGAGTCCCCTGACCGACGATGATACTGCAAGTGATAATCCCAATAATAAGAAAGGTTCTCCCATGGTGTAAATTCTGCCTAACTGGTTTCCCAAGCCGCAAAGTCTGTGAAACAATAGAATACATTTTCCTCCAGTGCCCAGGGGCGATCTTAATGTGGCGCCGGTGGGACCGCATCTGGTCTCAACTTGAAACTGAGGAGGAATGGCCATGGAAATGGGAATCGGTCCTATTAGGTGAATGGGGAAGGCCACTAGCCTCCAGCTATGCCACTAATCTGTTCGTCATCGCGAGGAAAGCCGTGGCATGGATGCTATGGACAAGGAGATGTGCGTTTGATCAGGAAGGGGCCAGGATGGGAGAAGGGGAAGCAGGAGAGAGAGTTAAACACTTCATAGAAACAGAAATAAGAGTCCAGCGGAACCACGTACAGGAAAAGCTAAATCATTGAACACAAAAGCAATCATTAAATTTTGTGCAGACTGGCCGGGACAGGAAAAGGGAGGCAGGTTAGCACACATCTGTTGCCACGGGGAAAGAGGGGATGAAAAGGAAAACAACGAATTCACCAAAAACAGCAAACTTTAGTTTCACGAATGGCTGCAACTCAACCCGGAGATCCCAATGAGGAGTCCAGGGGACTTTCCTGATACGTTCCCCCCTTGCAGCCACAGCAATCGTAGATATGAGATGGTTCCGGCGGGAGTAAGGAGCTCAGAGATCAGCGGTCATCATCAGCTTTGGCATCGCCTGCAGCAACACCATCATCGACATCACCTACCTAGCGCACCTAGCCGCTGGGCCCGGCTCCCAGGAAGCGCTATCTCATTAACTTACACCTTACAAAAGGGGAAAGAGGTGTCCTACTTGGCTATACTGTGGAATTCAGAGTAATCACTAGCGGGGGGAGGGAGGAACTAGTATGCAACAGCAGGTATCAGGTGCCGGCTTCATGGTGAAGAGGATCCCCCCTCCCTCCATTATCCTGCTCAGTCAATCCCCTGGACTCCAGGGTAATCAATGCTGGCAGGAACCCCCACATTGCCTGTTTTGATATGCTTATGGGACGCTGGACCCGCTTTCCAGCAGGTGTTGCTCCCCACCAATAGATGGAGCCGCTCCCCAGGTGGTAGCGGTGTCTGCTCTTACCAGCACCACTAACACTGTAGGGGATGTTAAAAAAAAAAA